GTGGTCTGTCAGTGTAAAATGATTTATTCTGAATCCCAAATATCTAAATACGTAACATTTTTAAAATGACACTTTTAGAGAAGTATTTCTTTATGAAAAGTTCAACCACATTCCACTTTCCTTTTCTTTTTGGCATGCAGCTAAAACTGCGAAATTTCAAACTGTGCAGAAAGCTTTTATTTTTGTTATTTGTATTTTTTTTTTTTTTTTTTTTTTTTTGGTTATCATTCTTCTTCTTATCCCAATCATTTTTTTTTTCTGTGTGTTTCATACATGTCCCAGACCCAGCCAGATCAGTAGCCAGTGAAGACATGTTACTGTAGGTGACTGGAAAGTCATGGGTTTAGGGTAACACTCATTGCAACCCTGATGCTGTCATCAAGTCAGCTTTTCATAGCCACACCAACTTTTCAGCTCTGAGTGCTGCTTTTTCCCTTCAGTGCATTTGTTTTCATCTCCACCAAACAGGAGACATCTCTGAGGCAGCAAAGTGTTTAATAGAGCACTGACCCATGGTATTGCTCCTAAACCTATGGAAATAACACAATGTGCTAAGAACTGTGTATTAGTGCATCCTTTTCTGTATTTTGAGGTCAAGACTGGTCTCTTGGCTGAGTTAGAAATAGCAGGGGTGTCTGGCACATTGTCCTGGCTGAATTCTAACATGGCTGTAATTGAACACGTTAATGTAGTGCCTGCTTCACTCTCTTCAAATGGAAGATGAATTATTTTCAAAGAGCTTCCTGTAGAAGTTGCTGGGATCGAGCAAAATCAGGAAGCCAGTGATGGCTCCTTTTCTCCTTTTGTCCATTTCACATATTGTTGCCCAGTGACTGAATTCATGACATATATACATAATAAAACTATTAACTATGACCTCTCCTTTACTGATGGCAAATGTTACCAGAGTAGGGCCACTGTTTGCGGGGATAAAACACGTATTGCTAACAGATGTGTGAACTCTATCTCCTGCAGCATCAGAGAGGAAGTCAGGCTGAGACTGACAGATCCATGGAGCAGAGGAGCCCTGGACTGGGCACAAGCATCCCAGCTGCAGTTCAGAAGGAGCCAGAAGTGGTAGATTCATAAGGCAGGCTTTATAACCTCTCCTATTCTTACCCAGAGGGTTGTTCTGGTTGCTATGCCTGCCTCCTCCTTCTTCAGTACCTAGGTCCACACTGCAGTATAAAGAAAATACAGAGCCATTTTTCTTATTTGAAAGAGGCTGGAAAGGAAGAGAAGCCAGCACAACATCTTGATTTATTTCTTATTCTACACTGATCAGTCTTTTTGTTTTGTTTTTTTTTTTTTGTTTTCTGAAGTAGAAGAAAATACTGACCTAAGAAAGTAATGCTCCCTCCCCAGTTCTGGCTCCTGATGTCACTGTAGAACAATATCCATAGGGTCTGTGACTTCGTTGCCTTCACAGCTCCCTTCCTCCCTATTTCTATATAGGGCTCTCTGTTCTCACCCTCTATCCATGCACAAACACAGATGTTTTATTATGGCCTTTACAATTAAACATCACTCTCATCATATTTTTTTTTTTATTCCTTGTCTGCACTTTTTGCATCTCAGCTAAAAAATCCCAATAATGGTGCTGCGGTTTAAATCATTCCTCAGTTATGCTGTCCTAGGACAAACAGAGATCATACAGATAGTGGGACAGTGCAGCATTACTGCTACCCAGCATCATGGGCACAGAGGTGAATTCCCCTGTCACATACCAAATGGGTGGCAAGAGTCACTGAGGGCAGATATAAATCTTTGGCTGTCTTTCTATGGAAAGCTTGGGAACATTCTAACTGCTGTCAAGAGAGCAGATTCCTGAACAGTCTTAACTTCCAGCAACCAATGGCTCTACTCCAGCCAACGTGGAAAACCCTCCATGAGACAGTAATATGTAGATGTGTACTCTGTGAGTCAAAATGTTGCATGGTTTCTGGTCTCTTATAACCCAGCCATTCTGCCATTCTGTGTGTATGCGTGAGTGTGTGTGTGCCTGTGGGGAAGAACAGACCTTCAGGTACTCCTTGCAGCCAGTGGAGCTGGCTAGAGGAGATGGGTTTGGGATGTCTGTATGGATGGGCTCTTCAAGAAACATTGTGAGCAGTGAAATCATGACTGCACAAAGTCATTAGGCACACACTGTGGTGCATCCAGGCTTCGATTTCTGTGCAAAGGAAGATAGTTGCTATAATTAGGGCAGAAACTTGTGATCAATAGGGACTTGTCTCCATGGGCAAAGGCTCCATTAAAACTGGCTTCTTTCGTAAGTCCATGAATAACCACTTGCCTGCTCCCCTGTCTTTTATTTCAGGTTGTTTAATGGCTTGAAAATGAGTTGTCATCCTACGTAATGTTGTACTCAGAGACCCTTCAGCCTCCATCTGTAACTCTGCCGGTTAACGGGAGACATTCCCTGCGTCACAGCTCTTATCAAACCTATCTGAGACCTGCTGTAGCTGATAAGATTATCACCCCCCTTCCTACCCCAAAGTAACTTACGTCATCTCTGTACACTGCACACGCACACCAAATCCAATCCCTCTATGAGCTAAGCTCAGGTGGGCACCTATGCTTGTTTAGTTGGAAATGCTCCTTCTGCTGATTGATTTGGAGTTGGGAATCTGCAGGGCTTTTACCTACTTAATGGACACAGCCTCAGGATATTCTTTTCTTTCTCATTTGGGATCTTTAAAATATCACAATGTGGTTGCCATTAAAAAAAGAGGCTCTGGAATTATCTTGTAAAGTATGCTTACCTACAGCAAAAGCTAGCTCTGTTAAGGAAGGATTACATACATATTAGGAGCTGAATGCTTGGACAATATTTGTCATCGCTCAGCAATTCAATCCCAGCAGATCACATCTGACACTGATGGTAAATATACAACCAGAAGGGAAAAGTGGGTTCTTTGCTGCACCCTGCAAAGTCCAAGACCACTGCTGCACACGACAATGACAGGAATACAAGACAAACATCTGCTTTCAGGTCCTTGAAATTTGTTCTTTGAGTCATCAGGTTGACAGCATTCAAAACACTTTTTATTAGAAAAAGAGAGAATTAAATGGTTGTTTGACATTGTTAGTAATTAAGCACGGTGAAAACTGCCTTTTTAACCCCATGCCTTGACATCCAAGATAATGAACAGGTTTCCAGCATCATAGTGCTTTTCTTTCATATTTAAGCCCCATCTCAGATCTTTGCAGCTTAAGGACATGCAAATTTTAATTTACAGTTGATTCAATTTTGCAGTTAGCTTGCTGCTTGCAAGGCAAGGTCTTTGGAAGTGTCAGAGAATTAGTGTGTGGAAGGAAAGCCATGAGATGTAGGTTAAAGTTCTTTACCTTCTGTATTTAGTGGAGCAAATGCCAAATTCAGGCTTGCTATTCAGCCCAGGACTTAGCTAATGAGCTGGTGTAGTGTAGGAGTGAGCTGTGTACTGATTTTCTGCTGGTGTTATAGCAGCCCTATTACTATTATGATAATAACATATTAGACCTAATTCATTTTCCCTGCTTGCCAGGACTTTCTTCTGCTTAGATGGAGGGCTAATGAGCAGTTGACAGCAGTTAATGAGCTTCTGCAACAAGTATTTCAGTTTTTTTTTTCACTAAATGCAATCAGATATCTCTTCTAGGCACCACACTCTGTCTCCTTGGGATATTCAACACCATTAACACCCAAGTGTGTCAGGGAGGATATGTCTTCTTCAGAAAGTGCCCGCAGTGGACGATGCTATCCAGAATAGCCCTCCTTCACAGAGCAGGGGAGCTCTGCTCTGGCTCACAGCTTTCAAAACGGGTTGGGACAGCAGTTCAGCTCTTGTTATTGTACTGGTGGCCAATAACCCAACTCTGCTTTGTACAGTGCTGCTCAGGAAAGCGACTGCACTTTGTTGCTGCGATTGTTGGAGTGGTAGCTTACTGCTGTGAAAAATCTCTCAGTAAACAGGCTGACATCTCAAAAATAACTCACTTTTTTTTTTTTTTTTCTTTTTTTTTTTCTTCTAAGTTACACTCATCTGCATATCAATGTGAGCTGTTGTTTGGATTTTTTTTCACTCTTCTGAATCTACTTGAGAACTCTAAAGCATCACAATGAATGTCTAGGTGATTAACCGTCTTTGTCATTATGCACATAAAACTCCACTGGCAGAATTTTTCTCCTGGCAGTGCCAGTTGTAGCTCCCAGAGCCATATGGAAGCTCTGCAGTCCTCTGCAGGCTGAATTTATTGCTGTCTGTGTGTCATAAGCACTGTCATGGTCCTGTTTCTGTTTCTACTGAAAATTCACAATGTTCACTTGGCCTTCCCAGAGCCCACAGGGAATCTGCAAAGATTCTCTTGGGATGGCCAACAGCCAAGGTTCTTGGGCTGTTGGGAGCCCATTGCACAACCGATGCTTGCTCTGTTAAACTAGTTGCACCCACGTAACTATTACAGTACTTAGCCTGAAGGCTGTGGTGTCAGACATATGAAAAAAATCATGAATTAAAAGAAAAAAATATGTCAGTAATTTTCTAAGATGCAGAAATGTGATAAGGTAACAGCAACATTAGTTCACCAGAGTGCATCTTCTCTGTGTTAACTCCCACATTTCTGCAAAGTCAAAAAAGGAAAACAGTGCAAAAAAGAAAAGTTTCTTGATCTTCAATTATTCTTGAAGTTACCATCTCACTTCCAGATTTCTGCCTCTCATGTGTGGTGCATGTGATAGGGTATCAAGATATGCTTATAATAAAGAGCATATTTGATATGGTCTCAAGACATATTGAGAGCATATTCCTGCTTTCTTTTTTTTTTCTATTCTGCTTTAAGAAAAGAAGACAAATTATGCCTTGTGAGGAAGCCATTTGCTATAAAGTGTAAAAATGCTTTAATATTAATATTTTATAATAAAATTCATGACATATTTATAAACACTCTATCAAGCATTTACAACTGAACCACAGCTGAGAGCTTGGAGTGGAATAAATAAGCAAGGACACGGCTAGTATGAAATATACATCTTGAATTTATAATTGTGTGTGCTTTATTCTTTACACAAATGGAATGGATGCGCAGAGTATTTACACATAACAGGAGTGTAAGCTGGACAAGGTATTTTGTAAACTCCAGTTCAGATTCTGAGTACTCCACACTACAGCTGGACTGAGAAACATCCTGCCAAAGAGACGCACGTTGGCCAGCATGCTGGACAGAGTGGCACACTGCGTGCAGCCTGTTGCACTCGGAAATTCGGGCTGACTGACCGATTCAAATGTAGGAATACAAATCCAGAAATGGAAAGGTTGCTATCCCACTAAGAGCCAGCAGTGTTGCTTTTTAAAAAGTATTGTTCTTTTTTTCTTATTTTTTTTTCCAACGATCTTGCCCAGATGCTGGCTACCGCCCATCATTAGAAATGCTGAATTACACCAGAATGAGGTACCTGGGCTGTAGGTCAGGGCCAGAGGTGTAAGCTGCTAACACGGGGTGAGAGATGATGGCTCATGTCTTACACTCCTCACCTTACAGACAGATTCTCAAGAGAGCCAATGGGGCAGCGATTCCTATTGCTCTTGGTGAGATGTTGGTGGAGCTGAAACCTTCTGAAAATCTGGCCATGGTGCTTGGCCTATGGGGTGTCTTTGTGTTCAGCAGTTTCACTGCACCTGCCTCAAAGGGATATTGGTCCAGGACATAGCCCTCTAGGTGCTACAGTAATATGGGCAGTAAATAATGGTGCAAAGTATTGAGCTTCTGTTAGTAATGGGGCCTTGGTGCTTTAGAGTAATGCTAAAAAATTGATGTAACAGTGAGGATGGGTATGTAATTTCAGGTGGCATAAATGGGATGGACTCGTCCCTGAAGATATTCAGGGTCAGGCTAGATGGGGTCTGAAGAAGCTGATGGAACTGTTGGTGTCCCTGTGCATTGCAGGGAGTTGGACTAGATGGCCTTTAAGGGTCTCTTCCAACTCAAATGATTCTATGACTGTATAATTGATGGAGTGACCATAATTCCACTGGCTGAGGATATAGGCTGGCTATGTGGTGAGTAGCATTAAGCTGTTGTTTACTATTAACTTTGATGCTGATTTGTGCTTTAAAATGTCCTGCAAAGGAACAGTCAATTTGTTTGTAATATATTGACTACCTCATTCTTACTTCTGAGCTAGCTGACAAGATGTCTTGTTTTTTGATGGAACAGGAAAATACATCTATTTCACCAAGGCATGCATGGGCCAGAGCACATGGATGCAGTTGCACAGTGAACTGCATGCATGACATGGCAGACAAAATGCTCAAGAGAAGAAATGCTGAGATTAAATGCTATGAACAATAAAAGAACACTTTTCTGTGAACATGGCAGATATTATGGCTTTAAATCTGCAGCTTAAAAAGAAACCAAGACCTTTATGCATGAACACTGTTTTCGCTACATGTGTCTTCTTGTGTTGTCACTTGTTGAATCCTCTGGTCAGGGAAAAACAAAATAAAAAGAAAGAAAGTAGGGAAAACCAAAGCAAAAATACAATTTGACTGACTTCTTATGAGCAAGTAATAGTGAAGGTATAAAACCAACAATTTCTACATAGAAAACTGACGTAAATAGATTAGTGAATGTTGTGTAGATAGAACACTGTCGCTGGCTCGTAGTGGTTGTTAGCTCTGGTTCAAGACTGCTCTCCAGGATGAGGATTTGAAATTTCAGTGCAACGGAGAGATTCCTTATCCTTGACTTTCACAGAGTGGTTCCTAGGACCCTATCCACACCGGAGCATCAAACCATGCTAGCTACAAACACAATTACATCACAGAATATTATTCTAGAAACAACCTTTACTACCAAAAAAATAACAAAGCGCTAGCATGGACAGGGTACCTCTGTAGGAAGGGGAATTAAGCAAGAGGCTCTTTCACTGGTTTGTGGCCAGACCACAAGACCAATAAAGAGGGCCTTTTCACTGAGCCCTGTCAGCAAGCTCTCAATGAGTCAGTGCATGGGAGATGCTTTGTGGCAAGGAGAAATAAATAGTTTGTAATATCGCACATCTGCACAAATCTAGCAAGATGTCATTGTGATCATTCATGGGTGGACAAAAAGATGCTGTAATTTTGGTTCTGCTTAGACCCTACGGTGCTACACACTGTGCCAGAACATGAGAAATAGCACCAGGGATGTGATCTGGCACTTTTCCTAAAGGGTCCAGCATTTGCATTTGTCTCATGTTTAGACGCTCACTAGTCTTTTACATGGACAGAAAAGGAATCTGATTACGCTAAGCTGTGTTAGCACCAGTGTGGTCTCAGGTGCTGACTGCTGTGGGTTGTGAGTTCGGATCATTTTTTTTTTGCACCAGATGTAATTTTGCATGAATCTCGTGTTTCTCTTCCTCCTCCCACTACCACCCAGTATGATCTGAACAGCTGCAATGCAAAAATGAACCGCAGCTCTGAGGATGCTGAAACGTGAAACGCAAAACGCCAACACACAAAACAAATGGGAGAACAATTCCTAAGGGAAATAAGACCTCTTACTGCTTCTCTTGGTGAATTGTTTTTAAATATAAGTTTTATTTAAAAAAAAAAGAAAAAAAAGAAAAAAAAAGGAGAAGTGCAATGGCAACTCGAAGCACAAACAACAGACAGGGAAAAATAAATAATGTTACTACAGTAACCAAGGACTGATGGAAAAATTGATTGTACTCAGCCATAGTGTTATTGTTCACCATAAAGCACAGCACATGACAAAGCAAAACAGTTACTAGAAGGATAGTACTGTAAAAGGCTGCATGCTGAACTAAGAAACAAATAAGCAGGTGTGATTGATTGCTTAAAAACAGAGCTGAAAATTAGAATGAAGTTCCTGTTTTAGGATACTTGGTTTTTCAGGTCCAGTGGGCTATTTCCCAACCTGGGGCAATAGTACTTTGCCAGCATGGAAAAATCCATGGCATCCAAAGATCTGGGGTCACTCTGTGGATTTCTGCAGAATTATCCAAAAGCTAAGCTTTCATTCATTTATGTATTGTAAAAAATGTTTCTAGCCCTTCTGGTTACAAAGCTCTTTTGGAGACTTAACTGAATCCCTTGTATATAGATCTGTGCTGGCCAGGCAAGAAAAATAGCAGTAAAAGAAGTGTGAACTTCTCAAAGTTACCGTAGCTGGGCAGTACATGAGGGGCCACTGCAGGGCCACCGAAACGCCCACATGTTTACCTATGTCACCACTGGTGGCTATGTTTCAAACATCCAGCTCATGGCATCCTCTGGAGAGGTGGGCTGGGTATGCCTGTCAGCTGGACAGGTGCTGAAATGTCAGCTGCAAAGAGACGAGTGACTGAGGAGTTTGTTTAGAATTTGCCCTTAAAACATCCTTAAACATTAGGGTTGCTGAAGCCACCAGCTAATAAGTGTTAGACTGCTGCAGCATGGCAGGCAGGAGATTGTGGGCTTTCTTTAAGACTTGGTCCAGCAGCAGCAAAGGCAATTCAGCTTACTGTCATTGTATCTCTTGCAGTTGTCCCCTTGTAAGAATGAAGAATGACATCAGTATAGAAAAGAAGAGCAGTGTGAAACAAGGAGAAAATACCTCCCTCTCCCCTTCTCTACATCCCGAACTGCAATTCCACAGACTTTCCCCAAATCCCTTGCAATGTCCATTGCCTCAGTTTTTGCTTTTAAGACCCTTGTTGACTGTGAAATGAATGAAGATACAAGTTAGTTGGTGACCTGCCTGCCTACAAACAGAGGAAAGATCAAATACTTTTGGTATTTCCATTAAGAAACAGGAAGAATCATAAAACATTTTTTGGATGAAGTATTGTAACTGCGCTCGAGCACTGACATCTTGCTTCTGAGAAGTCATCCATTTCAATTTAAAGATGCATTATCCTTCTGTATTCAGAGAAGGTCCTGCAGGACCTACAGTCAGTTCAAGTGATCTTTCCACAGGAGTTAATCGTGATTAAATAGAGGCAAGGGAGAGGATTAGATTGAGAGAAAAACAGACAACTACAATTTAAGGAATTATCTTGCTTGTCACTCATAATAGAGAATTTGTTACAGAAAAGGGATAATGCAACTTGATGGTCCTCTTTACATTTTACAGTCGCACAAGGGTGTAAATATTTAATCTTTCAGTTAATTAATCTTTACAAAATATCTCACAAAAACATTTTTACCTATAGAAATTAGTTTCTATACATCAATATATTTTTATTTTTATAAATTATTCCATCTTTAAGTGCCTTCTATCAATATAAATGATAAAATAGACAATCAAAAAATTTAAAGCGTTTCCCAGTTGTATCCCTCCTCGTCAACATAGGTGCTGTGAATCCTCATGCTTGTGTGTGTGTCCACATAGGAATGTATTTGTGTGCACATATGTGTGATGTGAAATGCTTCCATCCTCTCTCACCCCCAAAATCCATTAAAATAAACTATATTGTTATTAGTTCCTGATGCAATAGTTTTTCCAGAGGGGAAAAAAGAAATGCTTGACTTGGTTTCAGAAATCAAAAGATGTGCATAGTTACCAAAGTCGAGGTGTACAAACTACAAATGTGCAATGACAAGCTTAGAATAGGATCCACCTCCCAGTCAAGTCAAAGACAATCCTACCAGTGACTTCAGTGGGAAGTGGACCAAGAACTCTGAGCTTGATTTTGCAAGGTGCGTGTGGCCCTGATCTAGCAGAACGCTTAAGCCCGTGCTTAGCTTTGAGCACATAAATAGTCCTACTGGAACTGATGGGACTGAATGGCATAGGGAAGGATCACAAGTAACTCCAAGTCAAGGGGCTACTCACATGTGTAGGAACTGGGGTCAAATGCTGAGCGCCTTGCAGAATCAAGCCCTATATGAGGTTCAAGAGCTGGGAACTTCTCTTTAAAGCAATCAACACACTGAGCTCAGCCATTGAAATTGATCAAAATGTCCGCATGGGCACAAGAGGTGGCTAGCTCCCCTTGACAGAGGGTCTCCATGTCAAAAGTTTATACCTACAACTGGTGCTTTCAGCACACAACAGATTTGCTTTATATGGTAGAAGTCTTTTTGTTCCTACCCTTTGACCCATCAGTGTCCTTCATGGCTTCAAACACTTTGTGTTGTACATTCATCAAAATTCACATTGACTGCAAAGAACATAAATGCAACAAAAACAGGAAAGCCTCCAAATAGTATATTATAGTTTTCTTCTAAATATTCTCCCGTTGTAATCAGAGGTGCAGTGGCTAATTTATAATTTTTCCTTGGAAGGAATCCAGATGAAAGGCCCAGATTGTTCTTCAATTACGAGTTTGCATTGATTATATATATCTTCTAAGCTATCTCCTTGGACAATAGCTGCATTAAGAAAACATACCAATACTTTTAATTGATACATTCCACAGTATTTAGTGTCAGCAGATTTTCAATGTACTTATAGATATTGATGATACTAGAAGAAATGCTATTGTATTATACTGCAGTGTTATTGACTGGAAAAGTCATACACCTTGCAGATAGCAACAGAGTTCAAACCAGTGGCACCTTCCCATGAGAGAGACCCATCCCTTTGCTTCTAGTAAAGTGACTGAGCTAGACTGTTGATTTAGAGAACTAGCAGTTCTGTCCCATGTGACGAATTGCATGGCAGGCTGCAAGTCTAATATCCATGTGATTTAGAAGCTAGTGAGCAGCAGTACATTTACAATCCATTATTTTCATAGAATCATAGAATCATAGAATCATAGAATCATAGAATGGTCTGGTTGATAAGGACCACAATGATCATCCAGCTTTAACCCCCCTGCTATGTGCAGGGTTGCCAACCATCAGTCCAGGCTTCCCAGAGCCACATCTAGCCTGGAATTTTCCTCACCTGTTGGAATAAACTCACTTTTGCCTGAAAAAGGAAATTAGATCAGGCCCAAAGTGACTGAAGATAAAGCAGCCGCAACACAAAGCTGTGCCTATATTCTTGAAGTGCCTTTCCCCACTGCAGAAAACTAGAAATGCAGTTCATATTATGTGCACTGTCAGCATATAAAGGGACAAGTGGGGCTTCTGAATGCTGTCCACAAACACTAGTCCACTGAGTAGTGAGCTGCCTAGATCAGCCCCATTGGGGCTGGGATGCAGAACATGTCTTAAATCCTGCTTTTCTCCATGTCAAGAAAAATATGCCTTTGTCTTGCCCTCTCGTGATGCATGTGCGTCCCTTCCAACCTGGGATATTCTATGATTCCATAAGTTCATGATACCATTGAGCCAGTGAGGAATTATGCTTTAGTCTGCACAAGTGCAATGATCACAGTTTTATTCACTTCAGCAGAAGCTAAGTTGAGTCAGGGAGGGAATTAAATTAATGCATAGCTATCCTGTATGTAGGGCAGCAAACATCTGAGGTGCTGAATGCCTTGACTGCTCTTGAGTTTATTGGGAAGCAATAGTCCCGAGCCAGGAGTCCTTACTATGGGCACACTGTACTGATAAGAAATTTATGCCAGAGAAAGAGCTGATTTGGTATTTTAATAAAATACATCCCTGTGATTTTTTTTAGTCAATAAAAACATACCTGTAAAATATTCTCCAAATTCTTGTTCTAACTTAATTGCACGATCATAGGTTTTCTTGGCTTGCTCCTCTGTAAGACGTTTATTCATTTCCCTAGAAACACAAAGGAAGTAATCAAGAAGAATGGATTTTTATTCAGCTTTTTAAAAGATGCACTCTACTCACTACTGGACTGAGATAGATACAAGAACCAAGTGGTTAAATTCTTTCATCAGTTCACAGTCAGTTCTGGTATTTTATATTTACTTCTATTTTTATGTAGTATAAGCCAATATTTGCAGATTTTTCCTCTATTTCCAAATTCCCCCAAATTTTTATTTTGGGTTCACCACTACTATGCTTCCAAACAAAACATGAGGCCTGCTAACTGAAATGGACATATGGCATCAGGAACTCCTGGCTTAGGCTGTGAGACAGGGAGGTCTCAAGGTCTGAGCACTCGGGGCACTCTTGCCTTCAAAGCTGAAGATTATGAACCTCCTTAACTCCAAGGCCCTCAGATGCCTGTCTTGGATGAACGAGATTGTCCAAACTGCTGAAATGGAAAATGCATCTTGACTAAAATAATGATTAAAGATGGGATTGAGCACAAGAACTCGTGACTCTACAGAAGGAATCCCAGAATCATTGTAAACCCTGTAGGGATGCCCCAGAAGGATGTGGGAGAAAGACTTCCTTGGTTGAAGTGTGGGCATGGGTTCCAGATAGTCACAAGAAATCAAACCAAGACTTTCTAGAAGTTAGAGTCAGGATGAGTTACTTATTTATATTCTTTCCAGTTTCAGTCCTTTACGATTAAATTTACAGATTCCCATTGTATCTTGTAGACTCTAAAATGTTTAAAGTACCAATATGTGTGAAAATATAGAAATGCCAATAACATTCTGTTATTGCACTGTTTTTGTTATTTGATGGAGTGTTTCTATTTCAACATTATATAGTAGCTGTAAGAAATGGGTTGTCTTGTTCATACACGCTCAGTTGTTAATATCACTGTATATATGCAAAGAATCAAGCTCATAATCATTAATGCCTTACAAATATATGCCTGCAGATAGACAAATTAATTAGTAATAATAAATAGAATTTGCTTGTTCTAGCATTTTTACAGCTTTGATTCATTTTTCTTAAAACGTGAAGGAAATTTTCTGAGGCAACTAGTAGAGCAAGAGAAGTGAGCATCTCGTGTCCTACATAAATCTGATTTAATGTCTTGCACAGAATCATATGATTGTGGTAATGAGCTGTATACTGTATGACATATGTGATGCATGTAGGAAATTATGTGCATGATGGTGCATAAAAAATGATCTATGAAGTGCACAACAGTGTGAACTTGCTATAGCCACCTCCTACCCAGCTTCTGAGATGCATCATTTAAGTTGTTCAGAATGCAGTGGCATTTTTCTAGAAATTACTGAAAGTTGTCTATCTATATAACTAACTATCCATATAACTGGGAACACTGCTAAGTGAATCCCTTTGGAAGTACCAATGCAACTCAAAGAGCAGATTTATACAGTGAAGGATAAGAAAGATTTTAAAGAAAATTTATGACAGTCATTTGTGTATTGTACAAATAATAGGCTTAATCTGTGTTACACTGCTAATTTTGTAGTACTACTATTGCATTCTATTTATTAGAAGGCTGGCTATTTAATTGACTTGGCTCATCAGCTGTGCCTACTGAACACCTCTTTCAGTGACTGAATTGAAACTGTGGCTTGAGTGGGACATAACATTGGACACTTGTATGTAAATTTAACATTTAGCATTTTATCTCCCTCAGTCATTATTTTAGTGCTAACAACATCCTCCTTCATCCAGATCTGGTAAACTTCTGAGAAGTCTTCTTCAAGATTTGACTATCAGAAGGAGAAACAAAGACACAAACAAGCACCTAAGATAGCAAATGCTTTGAAATGAGCAGAAATGTGGATTATATTTGTAGGACACAAAATTGCCTTTGATATATAACTGTTCTAGTTGTATTCATGCCTCTGCCCATCTTGTGCCTTCAGGAGAGGATGGAGAAGGAGGAGGCCCCTGATGTCCACTGTTCATGATAAATTAAAAATGTTGTCAAACAATGGTCTATTTTTTTTTTTTCTTTCCTAGCCAGGGATCTGCACAGATGGTGAATAAAAAATGCTTGCAAAGAGATGTCCCTCCCGGCAGCTTTAATAGGGATTTCCTCCTCTGTAAGTGAAGCACTTGCCCAGTGCTTTCAGTTCTCATCCCTGTGATCCAACCACTATCTTCCCTCTTCTAAAGAGAGAGGCTAATTGGAAAGTGGCCCCTCTGGGATTCAGTCTGTGATGTGGAGTCATGTAGAGCTGGGGAAGGAAGGAGGGGAGGAGGGAAGGAGGGAAAGAAGAAGGAAGGAAGGAAGGAAGGAAGGAAGGAAGGAAGGAAGGAAGGAAGGAAGGAAGGAAGGAAGGAAGG